TAAATAAGCTCCATGTTAAACAGCAAAAGATTTATTTATCAGAATTCGAACAAGATATTCAAAGGGATGTAGATTTTATATCCGATTTCACAAAGCTTCAAAAATGTTCAATATGCGTAACACCTGTGAGACAACGCACTTCAAACTGGTAGTCTAGCTCCTGCCAAACATGTTGTAGCATGTCTTGCGTAACATTCTCCAGCGCCCCAGTGTCTCTCTGACAAAACCCACTGACACCCGCGTAGATGTTTCCCCTGATTACTACAGGGTATCCCCACATAAACCGACATCATTTAAAATGTGAATATCTGACTAACTACATGTCCCAAGCAAACGAAATTAAATAGGCTTCTAGCTGAACACTAAAAGATTTAACAAAATTCGAACAAGATATTTAAAAAGATGTAGATATTATAATCGATTTCACAAAGCTTCACAAATGTTCAACATGCGCATCACCTGTAATACGACACACGTGAAATTAATAGACCAGCTCCTGCCAAATATTTTGTAGCATGTCTTGTGTAACATTCTCCAGCGGCTCAGCTATTATCTCTTTAAATTTCTGTTTACTTGTAGGTAGAGGTGGGATATAGACCTGTCCTTTCACATAGCTCCATAGAAGAAAAAAATACGTTTCAAGTCCGGGGAACATGGTGGCCATTTCAACAGCTCTTTGATATTATCACTGGCATGTCCGATCCATCTTTATGGTTGCGTGGGATACGTCCACATGGTCAAGTTACTTTTTAATCGTTTTGTTAAAATTTGAGGTCATTTGAGCGAGAATTGGCTTTGTTATTAGACTACAAGTTTGTGTCCATTTTTTTTTGGGGGGGGGCAACCTGTACAATCTTAACATCTTCAAGTCAGCCATTTCCTATCCCACGTATTCTCATAATATGCACATACCCCTCTTACGTCCAAACAGCAATCTCATTCAGTCACCGTCTAACTTGAGTAGCTATTGTGTTTTGTGTCAACATTGGGCAAAAATATTATGTGTATTTCAGCTTATATCTATATTTTTTTATATTTCTATTTTATAATTTATATTTTTTTCCATAATAAATTATTGATGGCAACTTGTTTCAGGAGTAAGTTATTATAATGGAGGCAGGGTGGAGTTATGATGGAGGTAAGGTGAAGTAATGATGGAGGTACGGTGGAGTCATGATGGAGGTAAGGTGGAGTAATGATGGGGGCATGGTGGAATCATGATGAAGGTAAGGTGAAGTAATGATGGAGGAACGGTGGCGTCATGATGGAGGGAAGGTGGAGTAATGATGTAGGCACGGTGGATTAATGATGTAGGCACGGTGGAGTCATGATAGAGGTAAGGTGAAGTAATGATGGAGGTCAAGTGAAGTAATGATGGAGGCACGGTGGAGTCATGATGGAGGTCAAGTGAAGTAATGATGGAGGCACGGTGGAGTCATGATGGAGGTACGTTGGAGTAATGGATAGCAGCTAGGATTGAGGGATCATAAAGAGTTCAAGTTCGAATACCAGACGAGTTCATTCTATTCACTTACGTGCTTGGAAAAGGTGTGGATCCGTCACTTCCCCACCCACAAGCTATGATAAAAATAGCAACACAGAAAAATATACATCGGAGAACGCATAATATTATTTAATAAGATTTCTCGGATATTTATAGGCCGGTTTACGAAAATAAATAAATATACTGCTTAATAAATAAATAAATAAACTGAACGTCTACTCAATTATGGGCATCCATTAAAAATAACGTTTAAATAGATAAAATCTGTTTAAAGATAAAATATTCGAGAAATCTTGTCAGAAAAATAGGCCGGTAGATGTAGTTGGATAAAAAATGCTGTTTAACTAAAAAAAAAACAAAGCGTCTACTCGATATGAGTATCGATCAAAAATAACGCTTAAACAAAATAAATTTAAAATAACACGCACACACACACATATATATATATATACATCTGTGTGTGTGATGGACTCTCCCGTCTTATTCGACGTATGAGGGTCAAGCAGCTCAGTTCCTAGGAACTGCGACAGCCAGACACATATGCCTAGATTATAGTGGCGAAGGCATTGTGCAGAACTAACCACTAACTGGTGTAATACGTGCCACAAAGTCCCCAAAAAACCCTCGACAGGAAAGAGTGCGTGATCTAGCGTGATCAACAATCTGATCAAACACTCGGTCACGAAAACTGATGACTTCGTGCTGGCACACCTATCGACGGCCCACAAGACTACCCAATTTCACTCACAAGACTTGGGCTAATCCAAAGGTGCCGTACGCCGGGAAAGCCCCCTCCCCATACTGATAACATCAAGAAATCTTCCTGCCAAATCAACCATGCTGAGATTCGAACCTGGGGTTTCATGTTCAAAAATGAACGTTCTAACCACTCGGCCACGTGTACGCGTGCGTGTGTTCGTTCAAATACTCACTGAATTAACGAATGAAGCCTTCCAAAAACGAAGTAAAGTATTAAGAAACAAGAAAATTTCGCGAAAAAAAAAGAAAAGAATAATGAACTGTTATGTATCATCGAACATCCTATATGACATTGAATTCTGGGTAATTTTATCATAGATGCAGAAGAGACTTTAAGCACCAAATATATGGTTCTACAGAAAGATACTGAGGATACCATAGACTGAACTTGTGAGAGAATTGGAAACAGAAAGGACTTGTAGATGTGAACAGACGGAGATAGATACATACATATGGATAGACGGATATACAGTGTAACCCGGATATAAGAGACCCGGATATAAGAGAAACCCGGATATAAGAGAGATTTCCTCTGGTCCCAAATTAGAGCCTGTGTTAATGTATATAGAATAGACCAAACCCGGATATAAGAGAAACCCGGATATAAGAGACTTCTTCTCCGGTCCCGACAACTCTCTTATATCCGGGTTACACTGTATATATGGTGGACTCTCCTGTCGTATTCGACGTATGAGGGTCAAGCAGCTCAGTTCCTAGGAACCGACAGCCCAGACACCAGCACATATGATTTGATTATATTTATGAAGGCTTTGTGCAGAACCACCCACACTTTTTGAAGGGCTGAATACAGAGACCTGGTGCACTATGTTGAATTTTTTAGAGCACATAATCAGGAAAGAGCGCTTGGAGAATTTTATAATCACAGGACAAAAGGAAGGCAACATGGACAGAGGAAAGCAACAAATAACCTACCTACTGTCTAAATGGTTTGCAGAATAGGGATTATGAGAGAAACCTCAATAAGAGCTGCAAAGGACAGGAAATTGCGGAGAGCCATGATTGCCTACACGCCCTGAAGAGAGACACTCATAGAAGTTAAAGTATATTGTCTGTTTTTTTTTCTATTATTTTTCTCACTTAATTTTGTCTTTGTCTTCAATCTTAGTCTCATTTTGTTTTAAAATCCTTTCTATGCGCAATCTTTTCTTTTCTTGTTGTATTCATTTTATTTGTTTAATCTTTCTTCTTTCCCCCTCCCCCTTCTTAATTTTAGCTCACAATATCTTCCAACCAACGATTTTTTTTTCTTTCATTTGCATCAAGATCGACACAGATCTTTACATTGCTGTTAATAGGCACTTTAACGAAGGCCAGGATTAAGACAATCGCCCCGTTCGCCAGATAGTCGGCGTCTTTGTCGGAACCGGCTCAAGCCAACTGCCCCATTACAGGTCGTTTGGACATCGTCCATAGACTGCAAATAGGCTATTTTCCGACACCAACCTCGGGGATAATCACCAAGGTGGATTATCTCCCCAACTGGGCGAGCAAAATCTCGTCTTGTCTGAAAGCAAAGTCGTTCCGACTGGGACTGGGAAATCATTGTTTGTTTTTATGGTGCGTCAATCGGTCCAGATATACATATTTACGATTTGACATTTTAACACCATACTGATATGTAAGCCTCTTCTTTCCTTATTTCAACTTCCACTTTTCCAGACATTTTTTTGTGTCTCCGGCGTTTAGAATAAATCAATATTTTTTCCTTCCTTCAACTTATTTTATGCGCCGTGACCCTTCAATACGTGGACGCTCATGGTTCTCCACAACTTCCTGTCCTTTGTATCCCTAAGCAATGTTTGTCCCTGTTTTTACGTCTGTCATATTCTGTCATCCAAGGTATGCTACTCGCTGTTTAACTCTGACCCTCTCGTCTTCAATATGTCATGTGAGTGTTATATTCTCCAAACCGTCTTTCTTCAGTGTGCTTCCAGTAATTTCAAATTTCGCTTTCTGAACCTAAATAAAAGTGTATTTTCTTTCCTATTTTCCTTGAAATTTCATCGCAGCTCAGATATTCTTCCCGTTGTATTCTCGGCATTCTCCTGTAAAATCACATTTCTGTCACCTTAAGTCTCCTCGTCACCCGTGAGGAAGTTGTTCAGGATTCACTGCCTTATAAGTTCGGTGCGGTTTTCTTTGCTTCTAACGAGATTTTCCTGTTTCTTATTATTTTGCTTAGCTTCTGGGAGGCATCTTTCTCTATTCCAAAGCGGTTTCAGTTTTCAGTGTCAAATTTTCCATCGTCTATAATGACATTTTTTCCGAGAGTTAAATTTCTGCACTTGTTTTATTTTGACGTCCCCAATTTGTAGCTCGCACCTTACGCTGTCTCTTTTGCTAACGATCATACAATCTTGGTCCTTCTTTAACCTTTTTTTCTTCTTACATCTCTAAATTATATTTTCTTTCTCTTTTTTTATTTTTTTAACTATTTCTTCTTGCCTTTAAGATTGTGTGATTGATTTTTTTTACGGTTTATCAACCCTTTGCAGGTTATTTAAATCCAGGAAATATTTTAAACTAAGAATATTTTAGATATAATAATTATTTGCTAATAGGAGTCATACTAATTAACCCATAGTTGGCGAGAGAAGAGGTGGGTTCATGCCTTTATCAAAGGTATTTGCACATAAGTGAATATAACCAACCCAACTGGAATTAGAACAATTCCTAGCCATTATCCTTTAGACCACCTTCAAATCAAAACATCCAAGCAGCTGGTGTTCCCAAGCGGTCACCCATCTAGGTACTGACCAGGCTCGACGTTGCTTAATTTCGGTGATCGTACGAGAACCGGCATTTCAAATTTATATGAACGTAAGCTTTTAAATTTTAAGAAATCACGTTGTATGAGCATATTTTATTTTGGCTTCCATAGGGGGGATCAATTTACGATGAATTTATAGACCCTTTATTATAGTTTTATAAAATTTAATTTAAAACAATATTCGTTATCTGGAGTGGTTAATCTATAGTAATTTTTTTAAAAGCATATCACCCCAAGCAAGGCGGGAGTGACACTAGCACTCCTGGGGGTTACAGGGAGTGAGAGAAAGAGTAAAGAGGGTAAACGATAAAAGAGAAGGTTGGGGATCAAGTCAAGGCATCAGAAGATGTCGATGTCGATTATATTGGAATATTTGAAGATTATAGCTATCAGGGAAGCAAATAAGAGGAAGGGAGTTCCACTGTCGGTAAGTGCGAGATAAGAAGCTGTTGGGGTAGAAGAGACGGCTATATTTAACCGTTTTGACAGTGAAAGGGTGGGACCGAGATGCCAACCTAGTAGCTCGCTTAAATCCATACAGTTTAGGAACCAGTGAAAGCAGCTCGTCAGAGTAATTGTCATGAAAATATATGTAGAAAAGACAGAGGGAAGCCACAGCACGTCTGTGAGAACGTGATCTATCCCATTGCATATCCGTCTCTGGATTTTGTCGAGGATTTGAACAGCCGGGGTACCAGACCATGTATGACAGCAGTATTCAATGTAAGGACGAATGGTTGATTTATAGATTTGAAGGATGGACTCAGGCGAGAAAAACCTTCTAGCGCCACACAGAGAACCAACTTTCCTTGCGGTAGATGTAGCTATTGATTTCATTGTTTTCCAAGCCCATGAATAGAACTTCCTTCTTAGCTATGGAATACGAAGGGAGTGTGGATGGTTTGCCTCTGTGTACAGCTGTCAAGTCTAGAAGAAGAGCTCTGAATTTAAAATCTTGTAGAGAGCCTTCATGGCTAAGACCTGCCATGCCACGCTCATTGTAGGGAACCACCCTCATTCCCTCCGTATTCCATTGGGGAGACCTAAGTTCCACTCGAGCATGTTCTTCCCACGAACCGCTGCTTTATGGGACCGACTCCCCGAGTACCATAATCTTAACCTGTTCAATTCTAGAGTCATCCATTATCTTCCCCGAAAAATCCCATAAACTGTACTTCTATTTCTGTAAACATATACTTCGAGTGGCTTTTGGGCCTTGTCTAGAGTGGACATCATTGCAAAACAGAATAAAAAACTCTACAGAAACTTCACAACTATCTTTTTCATGGAGAATTCCCAAATAATAAAAAAAGGAAGCTGGAGAGACCCATGTCCGCTAAGTTGCATATATAAAAAACAGATCGGTATTAGGTGATTTATTTCTATGTTTTGGAAAGCGTAGAAAATATCTTCGCAGGGTGTTTTATCGACAACGGAATCTTCTGCAAAATACACCTGTTCCAGACGAGACTGTTCGGAGGAAATATCTACGCAGACCTCCTCCCATAGAGCTATATTTCGCAAGTTTGTCTCGCACATCATTGGGAAATTAGCTAGAAGGAAATTTTTAGTTTTTTTTTTTTCTTTCTTTGTTGTTGGTATTTTTAAAAAAAATATAATTGCTTTATCGATCGCCCATTTTTATCTCATCGGTTTTCTTTTTATTTTTCAATATCTTTTTTTTTTTTGTATGCTCTGTCGTTGTCGAAGGAACTAATGAGAAATAACCCAGATGTGATATTCGCTAGAGTAGCCGGTTGTAATAGGAAAGGCTGTTATTTTGCGTCGTGAATGATACAAGACCCTGGCACAGAAAAAGCTCCACCCTGACCCAGACCGCACATCAGACCTGGCTACTGACGGCTGACAATGGGACTGTTTGCCCGAATCACACAAAAACATTGGCGAGGTGACATGCTCAACTGTCATGGCTGACAAACGCACTCGCCTTGCTCCTCTTATTCTCGGCGTTCACACTTCTTGGACGCCTTCTAAATTTATTTTCTCTATCAATGTCAGTTTCTATGCTAATTTACTTCTTCCTTCTTTCTCTCTTTCTCTCAATATATATATATATATATATATATATATATATATATATATTAATGTGGGGGGCTCTCTTTCCTGCTTCTGTATCTCTCTATGTGGCTAGCACATTCTGTTTATATCGGTCTCTTTATTTGTTCGCATCTGTATATCATTCTTTCTATCTCGCACTGATCAATAGATCTATGCTAGATTATATTTATCTTTCTTTTGTAACAATTTCATTCTCTTCGTATATCTGTCTGTCTGTCTGTCTCTCTCGCTCTCTCTCTCTCTCTCTCTCTCTATATATATATATATATATATATATATATATATATATATATATATATTCATACATACCTATCTCCGTCTATCTATAACTACCTATCATAGTCTGTTCACATTTATTTATCTAACAAAAGTCTGTTTTTATATATATATATATATATATATATATATATATATATATATATATAAAAAAAAAGGAAAGAACTCGTTAGGTAAATAATCCAATGTTCTTTAGTATTTTTGTATTCCCAAAAAATTCGCTTGAAGATGGAACAGAACTTGGTACTTTAATTCAATTTAATTCAAATAATTATATTGAAGTTTTCGGCTCTTGTTTTGAAACTCTTATGTAGCATTGGAATCATATTTTTAAATAAATATATATATATATATATATATATATATATATATATATATATATATATATGAGAGAGAGAGGGATAGCGGCTCGGATTGAGGAATCGCAGAGCCGAGTTCGAATTACAGTCGAATCCATTACATTCACTTGCAAATATTAATCCTCTTCTTCTTCCTCCATATATATGGGTTCTATAGCCTCGGATGGCAATTGGTCTGGGAGGACAACTCTGAATTCAAAACCTGCAGAGGCTCGTGGTGCACCAGGTCTCTGTATTCAGCCCTTCAAAAAGTGTCGTTGATTCTGCACACTGCCTTCACCACTATAATTTAATCATATGCGCTTGTGTCTGAGCTGTCGGTTCCTAGGAACTGTTTTCTTGACTCTCATACGTCGATTACGACGGGAGAGTCCACTACATCTACATCTATCTCCGTCTGTTCACATCGAAATATCTATATCAGGTTGTTGATATATATATATATATATATATATATATATATATAATCTCAGTCTGTTTATATCTATCTCGGTTTGTTTATGTATATCTATCTATCTATCTATCTATCTATTTATCTATCTCAGTTTGTTCATTATCTATCTATCTATCTATCTATCTATCTCAGTTTGTTCATTATCTATCTTAGTTTATTCATTATCTATCTTCCTCTCTATCTATCTATCTATCTATCTATCTCAGTTTATTCATTATCTATCTACCTCTCTATCTATTTATATCAGTTTATTCATTATCTATCTCTCTATCTATCTATCTCAGTTTATTCATTATCTATCTATCTATCTATCTATCTATCTATCTATCTATCTCAGTTTATTCATTACTAGCAATAGTGCCCGGCGTTGCCCGGGGATGTAACAGTAAAAGATAGATCAAGTATCAACCATCATAAAGACTGAAAAATAAAATTGACAAAGATGACTGTTTAAGGTTGACGGACACACATGTCTTAATTAGTTTTTTTTTTTTTTTTTTTTACGAATTGGTGAAACCCAAACTCAAACAAAAACATTGTTTTCAATCGTTATGAGTCTACCGATTGAATAGAATTTTATTATAAATAATTGTCTTGTAAATGGAATTTTTAAAGCATTCTGAATGTAAAAATAAAGAAAAAAGTGTGCAAGATAATAAGAAACACTACCTGCCAAAAAAAAGTGAAGTTTTGTTGAAATCAGTTGAAAAATGTAGGAAATCCGATCCGATATATAAATGAACAAACACACACACACAACCCAGGTTTTTATAATAAGTATAACTCAATATGAGTTGTCCCCCTTTCATTCTCTCGATGCCTCTTAATCGTGTTTTCAAATTGATTTCATGCAAAAACAATTATGTTTTTCCAATTTTTGGCGCTGTCAGAACCACCGCAAGGTAATTTTATGTAGTCCTGTGAAGTTTTGTTGAAATCGGTTGAAAAATGTAGGAAATCCGATCCAATATATAAACGTACAGACACACACACACACACACACACAACCTGGGTTTTATAATAAGTATGATCTATCTATCTATCTATCTCAGTTTATTCATTATCTATCTATCTATCTATCTATCTATCTCAGTTTATTCATTATCTATCTACCTCTCTATCTATCTCAGTTTATTCATTATCTATCTACCTCTCTATCTATCTCAGTTTATTCATTATCTATCTACCTCTCTATCTATCTATCTATCTATCTATCTATCTATCTATCTATGTATCTATCTCAGTTTATTCATTATCTATCTCTCTATCTATCTATCTAAGTTTATCCATTATCTATCTATCTATCTATCTATCTCAGTTTATTCATTATCTATCTATCTATCTCAGTTTATTCATCTATCCCTCTCTCTATCTATCTCAGTTTATTCATTATCTATCTATCTATCTATCTATCTATCTATCTATCTATCTATCTATCTATCCCAGTCTGTTCATGTTTATCTATCTATTCATCTGTCTATCTTCGTCTCTTTATACATATTCTCTTTCTCTTTGTACATATCTACCAATCTATGTAAAAAAAAAGAAGCAATATACTCTATCATGTATTACAAGAAAAGAATCAAGATTTTCTCAAAAACAGAATCTATGATGTGAAATAGGAATTAAACCAGTGGTGGCATCTACACTGAATTTTTCATAAAAATTAAAAATGTGGAATTAGTAAATAATAAACATTTGAAATAGCTCGATATATCGATCAGTTATAAAACAATATAGTATACGAGATAAGGAAACTGAACATAAAATGAGCAGTGGTCGAGGTAGTTTCGCACAATACCGCACATTGCTACAAAACTAAAACATTAGCTTAAAAACCTGACTCATGCTTTTAAATAGCCCCGTCAGATCGAGATAATGGCAT